CCAATATAACGGCTTGTAAACAATGTCACGTAACGTCACATTTACCTCAGAAAAACATATTCGGTGACTATGAACTCATTAGTCAGATAGAAAAATAAACTGCAGAGAGGGGCATTTTGCTAAATATATGCACCATATAACATACTCTATAAATGTTACCGTTCTTGTGTATTAATGTTTAATTTATGTTTGAATAAATCCATCAAGTTTTTATGACAGCCAACATTGTTTATATTTAAAAAAAACGAATTGAAGTAAAAATATTATGTAATTGCAACTTTACTATTTATAAAACTTCATTAAGTGTAATTTTAACAAATCAGTCAATTTTAACCTTCAATATTATAATAATGTATATAGTACCAACTGACTCTCATGTATATTTTACAGCATTAGTAGAGAGATTTATTTCCCTTGAAAATTTGGCATGTACTGTAACCTGATATGTATCCAAAATAATCGATATTGAATCGAATCGAATTGGTAATCGAATTGAATCGCAAGCTTGTGAAAGAGAATCGAATCGAATCGGGAAATTTGTGTCAAAACCCAGCCCTATTCTATATGTTTGTTATTTTAAACATTTTTAAATAAGATTTTGTTGTTTAATTTTATTGAAAATGTTGAAATACAAATTTCAAACTGATAAAAATTGTGAAATAAAATGTAAAATGTAGGACAGATTATTTTCTTTTAATAATTTAATGTAATCTATGGGACCTCATTCTTGATTTCTGACTGGTTGTTTTTTTGCTAAAGGAGTCTCAGGGTGAGACAGTATTGGGAGATATGATGAATGTGCTCATAATGTACCTGGAAAAGAGCCCAGGCTGGGAGATAAAGGGAAGAAGGTATGGATTTATGAACTGTTTTTAATGTACACTTAAAGGTCCCCTGAAATGCTTAGAAACATGCAGGGTTACTCTGTGTTGACGTCATTTTAACTGAAACAGGAAGACAGGGCGGGACATATCAAGCAGCCCCGCCCCTTTTTAAAATAGCCAATAGCGTTCGTTTATATCACAGCTTGGCCATTTGCGTGTGTTCAGATGAGCAGGAAAATAATTCTATCCTACACAGTTACTTGCGAACAAAGGTTATTTGTTAAATTCAATGCATTTGTACGCATTATTATTATTATTTTAAATAAACGAAATCACTGGTAAATAAAACACACCTTAGTATCGATATTTTTAGTTTGAGTATCGATACTTTCGATACTCGCGTCAGTATCGATATATCGATACTTAGGATCGATATGCCCATCCCTAGCCGAGAGCCGTACAGCCGTTCAGAGCCGTTGAGCTCCGTAAAGCCGCATTTGACAGGGTATGCCAGCCACAATCTTATCCATATTGCTATAAAATATAGCATTCTGTGTAGAATTCAAATAGCTCCGATACATTTTGTGGTCTGCGCCGACTCGCACATGTGATCCGCTCCGTGCTATCGTGTCTCTGGACCGGAGCAGAGTGTGTGTGCGGTGCGGTGGTTAACGTGACACAGCGCGAAACCAGACTTATTTTTTTCCTCTGTGGAAAGCATATTTACACTGTTTGAATCGTTCCCTGCCCCCTATATAGTGTACTGCGTGCCATTAACAGTACAGAAAATACTAATTCTGTGGACAAGTGACCGATTTCAGCCGCGGCTTCAGCGTCTATTTTATAGAGTAGGGGGCGGGCGCTTCGGATTCTAGAGAGCATTTGATTGGACAGAAAGTTCGATGAGAACATGAAGTACGATGTGACGTCAAAAAAAATCGTTGAGCCGTTTTGGCGGAAGTGATGAACTGCAAGCTTTGAATGCTTATATCTTCTAAATGCGAATTTTGTCACTGTTTTGGAGCACACTGCCTTATAAAATACATTTTTCCCCAAACTGAAATTGTTTTTACTTTCATTACTTCAGTAAATCTATTGTTCCCTTATTTAAAATGAAAGAATATTTAGTGTTAATTAGAGAACCCTTTGTTGGGTTGTTGTTATCCCAACTGCTGCGGGGCTTGTAGTGAAATTTTAATCTTAGTGTTATTTTATGAAAAATATTTTCTCTCATCAGAGCTGAGGATCTCTGTCAGCTATTTATATCGGTATTTCTCTGTCGAGACCCAAAGCGCTCAGCGGTAAGTGTCTCTAGCTGAACGATTCTCTGTCTAGTTTGCGTCAAATGCACTTTTAAACTGGAAAAATGAAGTACAACAATCGTAGGATGTCTAGTTTCATTTGCATTACAGTTGTGATTCTGTGGTCTCTCCTACAGCTTTTGGCAACAGCAGTCTTAACCTTGTTCACTCGCCGTGGTATATCTGTGAATGTCAGTATGGAAAGGCTTACAGCCTTTTTGGGGAATATTTTGACAGACACAGCAGAGGTACAGTTTCATTATTTATACTGTGAATAAGGGTTAACTCTGTTTGGAGTAATTAATGTCACTGATGTGATGAAATCCAGTGTAGTCATTCCCTACTCTCTTTCTCTCTCTTTCTTTTCCTTTCCCCCTCCCACCATCTGTCTGCTCTCTCTCCCGTTCGTATAGGAACATAACCCTTTACCTGCAGGTTGGGGCATGTGTGATGGCCTTCTGTCACTGATTCTCCACAGACTATCTGAGGTAATTCCTCTCAGATTAATTCTCTTAAAATCTGTGCTTTGTTGTTTAGAGAGACACATAATCAGTTTGTCCGATTAATTGGTTTTCGATTGTTTCATGTTAAATATACAAAAAACTACACCAGTTGAAGCCTCAACTGAATAGCATCCAACAATGGTATTTACTGATAAAGGGAAAAAATATGTTACTTAACTTTTTTTAACAGCTGTCCATTCTTCTGTTGGAAAATGTTGAATTTAACAATGAGTCTTATATACTTAGATTATATAATATGCAAATATATTACAAAATGTGATTATTATTGATCAAATATAAATATTGTTGTAATATAATTATCATTTAATTGTTATTAGTTATTTAGTTAGTTCATAAATAAATCAGTAATTAAAATCAGTTTGCCATATTGCTTATGGGACATTTAAACATAAAACATAATCTGTATCACTCTAAAAAAAGAAAAAGAAAAGCACTATTAGTCATATCTATAGTGTTAAAGTCGCAATAAAATGGAAATAGGGACGTATCTTTTTTTTCTGTTTTGTGCCATAAATCCCAGTGTAATGAATTATCGAAAAAGAAAAAAAAAATGTAAGAGGGGACTTTTTCTATTTATTGGTTGTTGATTGAATTTTGAGATGTGGGCGTTGACTAAAACTGAATGCGAGCTTGACTGTCTGTAGTTTCACCAGAAAACGAAGTTATGAAAATTTGATTGAAAATTATAGACACATGCATGAATCAGTCTTTCACAGTAAGATCAATCATATGCATTTACAAAATAGATGAATTTTCATCTGTTGAATTTTCATTTCGTGCTGACTTTAATATGCTGTCAAATTACTATTTTTCCCTTCACTGATGAAAGCGTGAAAGCAGCCTACTGCTTGACTTTAAGGACTCCGAGCTTTGGCTCTGCTTGTGGGCTAAAGTAAACGCCTCTCTGGAAAACACAACATCCCAGAGTTGCCATTTCTCTCCTAACGGTACTGAACATCAAGAGAACATTCACTTATTTCTGTATTGCAGCTTTAATATACCAGTAATTTAATAACATACATTTGTCTCTGTTTTTTCGTGCAGGTCTGTACATGTTCCTTTCTCTCGCTTTATTGGTTTTCTCCAGAGATCCATATAACTGTATGGCTCTCCTGTCAGATAACTCCACAAACTGCTCCTCTACCCTCAGCCACCTTCTCACCACCAGTTGGTGAGCTTCAAACATTGCCTTTATAACTTACTAATGGTGTCATACAGTTTTTCAATGTTCATTTGTATATTAGTGTTTATTTGAAGTGCATCGAAGAGATTTACAGTGTATTTCTCATTTTATACTTCACAGCAGCGCTTCATTGCTTGAGCGGGGTCTTTTCTGGGGTGACTCAGAAATAAACAGCCTATCAGTGATGAGCTGTCATCTTCTCTGCATCCCCTTCTCTCTGGAGTTACCCCTAGAAAAACTTCTTTCTGTTCTCCAATCGTATCAAAACTCACATATTGTGGCCGGTCTAGTTAAGGTATGGTTTTATGAAATACTATAAAAGTATTTCAGATGGCTGATGTGTCTGTCCATTGGAATATCAGAAATGTAATTTTTGTGGTGTTTTTTTTTTTTTTTTTTTTTGCTGACTTGTCTTCTTGTTCAGATGATTCAAACTCTTCCCGTTGCCCTGGTGGAGCTTCCGTTGTGTCTTCTTAATCGTCTGCTGGTATCTGAGCCACAGCACACTGGTCCATGCCTTATCACTGCAGCCCAGGCCTCCGCTTTCCTCCCTTACAGCACAGAAGGCTCAGACAATGGAGCAGACCACACTCAGAATCAACTTAACCACTTCGGGAATGGTGCGGAGCGAATTAAGAGCAATGGAATCGCAAAGAAAACCAAGATAGATCATATCAAAAGTGACATCAAATCAAAGAAGAGGTTCGAGCGGCTCAAAGGCAACATAGATGCATCTAAGGAAAAAAATTATTCCATAAAGACGCAATACCAGCCATCCAGAAACAAGACTGAGAAAATCAGAGAGGTCCAACCAAAAACCAAAATATATCCACAGAACACCATGGAACAACTAAGAGATAAAACAGAGCAGCAGAGCGGTTGTATAGAGGAGCTCATGGACAGTTTGGAGATCCGTGGCAGTTCTGCAGGACGTCTCCAAGACCTCTCACCTCAGCCAGGGTGCAGCATCAGCTGGCTCATAGACAGTCTGGAGGAATTGAGAAGTTGTGATCACCCCAAGATCTCCACGGCTAAAATTCGATCTTCACCAGAAGAGGTCAGAACAGCAGGTTCTCTGTTGGCTGTTCTGCTACAAAGTGAACTTCTCAGTGCGTGTGCAGTGGAACTCCTTATCCTTCTCTCCCAACTAACACGTCATCTCACCCATCAGTCTTCCTCCTTTCTTCCTGTCGAAACCACCCAACTGCGGTTTGCATTGTGCCACCGCGATGATGGTTGAGCAAGTAGAAAATCTGAGTCAGTAGACAAGTAATATAAACTCCTGAAATTGACTAAGTAGTAAACAGGAAAATCATAACATTTGTCAAAGATTGTGCATGATCGCAAATGCAAAAAAATCGTAACTTGAATCATTTACATTGTTGATGAAATATTGCTAAGAAGCTGGGAAGTCTGCAATTCTAAAGCCACCACAATCATTTCAGTGATTATTTAAAAAGCCATATCACTACAAAGATTTTACTTTCTGTCCCCCAACACACACTTGTACATTAGAGCAAACAAGCTTTATAAAATCACAAACCCTGATTGTAGTCGCAATAACAGCAGAGACATTGGGCCAAACAGCAGTTTGTGAGTCAAACACCACTCATTCACCTCTAATGAAACGTGTCTGCCAAGAGAATATAAAACAGGACTTCTTAAGCAAGAAAGACTTTTGCAGTAAGATGTCATTCAGACGAAAGAAAAACAAACATTCTTTATAAACAGCCATGAAATCTTCAGCATGCAAGAACAAAAATACAGGGAATCAACACACATAACATTATTAGGCAGTGCCATATCTTCAGCATCGAGTTACAAACTGACATACCTCCATGACTTTGGACATAAATCGTATACCTGAGCTGCAGGACTAATCTAAAATTGGGGATTCAAAAACACATCATCAGGTTCGTTATTCCTGAGGGAAATTTATTTCGAGAAGTGCTTCACCTGAAACTCAATATATAAGAAACAGATTGCTTTTAATATCAGTGCTCATTAATTAATTAATAAATGGAAGGAAAAAAGGAACTACCAATGTTGTACTGATTGTACATCATTAGTATTAGTACCATAAATGTTGAAACTGCTAAGAAATAAATACAAAATAAAAAAACAGCCTCTGTATAAATTAAAATCAGTGCAGGTCATATGCGGAACTTGTGACATTACCTTACAGCCTTTTCTAAATAAATGAAGATGCGTTTCATTCGATCTTGCCTTATTGTTGATTTCTGTCAATCCTGAACAGTAAACGCTCTGTTGTTAAAGCTCATTTATGGAAACCAGAAGATGATCCGTCTAGCCACTCTTGAGAAAAGTAAGAGAAAACAATCAAAAACGGCTGTCGTTACAGTCAAAGACATAATCACAGTGCATATTGACTGATTTGGAGTTATTTCTGAGAAAGTGGATGTCTGTGCTGCAGCTGTTGATGGATTTTGTCAGTTTGTAACGAAAATTAAATGATTGAGTAACGTGCAATAGTACAACCTCCACCACATCCTTAAAAAAAAAAAAAAAAGAACACATTCAGTCAGAAAACATTCCAACTCAAATCTCCATTGCCTTTCAGACTGCTAACAATTCTACTTGCAGGACCATTGTCAGGTGGTCGAGCTTTTGGTCAGGTGCTGGTTTCCTGTTTGAGACGTTGGCTGCGGGCCTTATACACCTCAATCAGGAGGTCTTTCACGTACTGGATCTCTCGTTCCACCGATTCTGCTTTGTCCCGTAGCTCACGGTTTCTGCCCTCCAGACCATGAAGCTGTTCCTCCAACGTGTCCAACTCCGCTCGCTTCCTTTGGCGATACCTGTTAAAAAATGATTAATACAGAGGATATTCCGTTTTACTTACAGAAGGTGTGGTCTTTTAAATCCTATAAGCAGTTACTTCGTAATGCCCGCAGGCACTGTAGTCTGAAGCATAATATTTTGTACTTTCATGACTAAGTGTAACTTCAGAACCCCACTAAATTTTCTATGCTCACTTGTCAAGAATACAATTGACTACATTGTGATTCTGAAAGTACTCTACCTGTGAGCTGCAGTCTTGTTCTGGTCTCTCTTCTTCTGTTTGCGTTCACCATGGTTCACTTGGATTAGTGGCACCTCGAGGTCTGTTTTCACAATGCAGGGGTCTTCTTTCAGCACACAGACTCCTCTGGCACACGGGGACCCCATTTCAGGTCCGTGGTGGTCACCGCTCAGGCAGTCGGGGCTTTGGCCTTCGAGAAAGCCACAGTGGAAGTTATGTTGCCGGTGGATCTCTACACTCTCCGCCTTCACTGGGTCATTGATGGCCCCAAGGAAGCTGTGGTAGGCCTCTTCTTGAGATGCACCTTGGAGGAAACAGCTTTCGTTGGGTTCCGTCTTCCAGGAGATGTTGGCCTTCGCATCGCTAGCACCATTCTTGGAGTCGCTCATCATCTCCATCTCCGCACTTACTCCTATGCCGTTTAAATTGACTTCTCTGGTGCCGTACGTCATCATTTCATCTTTCTTGTGGGGAAATTGAATGGATCCGCTAAAGTTGTACCCACCGCCGCCACCGCCGGCCTTGCTCACACCGACGGCCTCTTCTGTGTAGCGGCAGTTCTTCTCCTCTTTGGGTAAAATGGCGCACCTCCTGATCTCCACTGCACTGCCTAGGCAGTAGCCTTTGCCTACCACCCGCTCATCTTCAGCACAGCTGTAGCTCCCACCAGGTGCCACAGCTGAGTTACCTGAGGAATTTCCTTTGGAACTCCAGATGCTACTCTCGTAGCTGTCACCCACCCTCAACCCATCGGAAACTCTCTTGCGGCTGCAGGCGTTGCTGTTGGGGCGGCTGCAACTGTAAGGGGCATGTCTAGGAATCTTGGTACGGCCAATGGGACCCCCACAAAAGCTCAGCAAGTCAAGTTCTCCAGTTGCCAGGGTAACAAGTAGAGGGCTGGTTTCGGATTGGTTGGAAGAAGAATATGATGCGTAGGGCAACTGGTAATATGACGGTGGACCAACTGCCGTTGGACCCTTGTCGCATTTGCCCAGTTTGGATGCTTTTTCTGGGAGTGGGTCAGACAGGAAGTAATCCTCCAGCTGAGCAAGCTCCTCTTGCAGCAGAGAGGTCATGACCTCCAAATCTGAGGGCACCTGGATGTCTTGCTGGAGGGGCGAGGGGGGAAGGGATGCATTGGGGGAGGGAGAGGAGTGAGGGGTTGGGAGGTAAGAGGAGAAATCTACTTCTTCCGTCATCCAGTCACTAAGACCATTACCTATGGGGAAAACAGAGGACAACATGTTAATCACTGGCCTAGAGATCCAATGTAGCACAATTATTTAAACCAAATAAACAACTATACCAGCAGTATTTTAACAACCCGTTAAAAACAAGCAAAAAAAAAACAAATCGCATCTCAGCGTGCTTATTAAATCCAAAATGCGAAAGGTAGCATTAAACTAGCATGTTATCTACAAATAATATAAAATAGATCCACGTTGGTAGTTTTACTCACTGTTCAAGGAGAACGAAATGTGCTGCAGTGCGGTGCCCACCTGAAACTGGGAAAAATAAAAAACTGTATTCACTGCAACTCACCAATTAAGTGCTGGTTCTCCTCTGGCCCCTCCCCTCTGCGCCCCTCCGATTGGCTGTGGTTAGCCTGTGGGTGAGAGAGAGTGAGGGGGTCTGCCGGGCAGACGAGTAGAGTCTTCCAAATGGGTGCTGACATTGTCATCATCCTGTCCGTTGGTCCTACGATTCAAACGTCCGAGCTTACAGTGCACGATAGTGAAGTTTGAGAGTTGAGCCACAGAAAACAGGGCTTGGTGCGCATTATGAAACCTAAAAAAAAAAGAGGGAAAATATGAAGAGGGATGACGCATTAAAATGCATTGCCTATGGTTTCGGTGTATCTGGTATCGAGACGACACTATCACACCAACCGTGATTCTTCAGTTGCTAAAGTAGCATGGAGGAAAGGAGGTGAAAAAAATCATTATGTCCTAGTTGGTGGGACTTTCCATTCTAAACTTATCCTGGCTCTCCTAAAATATCTCCAACTGACCATAAATCCATATTTTCAGAGTGTTAACCATGAGGGATGCAGTGCAAACGGAGTAAAATAACTATAACCCCCCTATTTCGTTACAGCATCAGCTGAGACACAGTGGTGATTAGCGAGGGACCAATTTAGAAAACTACCACTCTTCCATCCATCAAAGTCCCTTGTGCCCACTTAGGGGAGTTCTACTGAGATCCTAGGGAACCAGGCGAATGCTCTACTTGTGGCAAATTTATTAGCAGCCTAAATATACAAGACACACAACTGTAAAGCTTCTTCGGATCATATTTTGGAGCATGCCAATAATAAATCACAATATCAAGAATTTTTTTTTAATTTCTTTTTCCTTTTAATTTATTTAGTGCTGATTTCTGGACTATCTTTTGTTTGTATAATGCAACCTAAGGTGCCTTCAAATGCTCTAGTTACCCTCTGCACCTGAACTGATGTCCAGTTTGTTTACAGTCTAAGGTCAGACACTATATTTTATGCTGACAGAGTCATCCGAGACAACTTTAAAAAAACAGCAAAGAGCAGAAATAAAAAGCTTTCTTTTCTTCTTTTGCAATCAAGCATTAGAAGTCATTTCTAGCGGCATGGCAGGTGCGTGGGGTGCAGACGTCTCTGAACTGGATGTCAGAACTTGGCCAGCACGTGGGTTACAATCTATGACGTAATGCGAAACCAAAGACAGCAATTTTTCGTGGAAGCTTTAAAAACGACACAAGCTTTTTGCAAAGTGCCAAAAAACATTTTTAAAGACAACAAACAACATCCGCTGCATGCAACATGCAACTATGTGTCAGATATTGCTGTAAAATGGGCAAAAGGAAAACATTTATCCTCAGCACTATTGTGTAAACAGACAGGCAATGCATCTGTTTAACACAGATAATCACTCTATAAAAGGCTGTTAAACAAGCAAGTCTAACTTGAAAGTGCGTAAAAGAATAGAATGCGTGTCAATATAAATTGAACGTGTGAAAATGCTAATTAACTAGGTCAGACTGATTATTGTGGATTCATTCCTAAAGTTGCAAAACTGTGTAGCAACGAGCTGAAAGGAGTTTCTGAAACTTTTTCCAATAAGCAAGACAGCAGTGTGTATAAAACAGCGCCTGAAGCACTGTTACAAGTGACAATACTCTGAACAACACTTAAACAAAAGCAACACACCTAAAAAGTACAA